TCCGTATTTTCGTTTCGATTTGTTTTTTGTTTTTCTTTTTGTTGTCGTTTCTTTCTACCATTTTCACTACTTTACTCTCATATCTCGTCGATAACGATGACATAACAAAGCCATAATACTAATTCTGATTTTCTCTGTTGAATTCTTCAGTGTCCTTCGTATTTGTGAAGCCCCAGAAGCGTGAGAACGTATCTCAAGCATGGAATATTTTCATGTGGGTTACTTTRTTCTTGGGGAATGGTCTACTCATGTGTTTATACAGCCAGGAATGGTATGCTGTCCAGAACTGCCCAAGAACATCTGTAAGTAGGCATTACAGCAAGATAAGGGACCGGTCCTCAGTTCCCTGGTGTGTCGGAGGATTTAGGTGGGGAAGGAGTCGCATGATATTTTCGAACAACTGGAAGGGGATCAGGTTAATATTGACAAGTATCAACCAATATTAAAAAGGAGAGATGATTAAAAAATATGGTGCTTCTCCAGGGGAACAGTTAATCTTTATGTCTTTCCAACAAAGATCCTCCGACAACCAACCCCCTTATCCCCTCCCCCGCCCCCCTCTGGATTATAAATATAGACTGGTCCCTAAAAGGAGAAATGTATGAGTAAAGATTAGTGTATAACAATCTGGTTTAAAGGCCCTTTTACACGCTACGATTTCTAATACTTGTCTGGCGAAAATATTGTTGACGTTTGCTTCCTCCGTGTGTATAATATGCTCACTGCGAATCCCCAAGTCCTCCCCAGGGGAAAAAACCTTAAAATGTGAAGTGACACTTAAATAGATTACACTGTTTACCAATAAAACGCTGCAATATCATACCATACCATACCATACCATGCCATACCATCCAATCCCATTGCCATATAGTGTCACGTGATTGACATTCCTCTTCATACTAAATGTGCTTTTGTTTGTAGCACACTTTGATGGACCAACTGATCCCACGTTCTTGGAGTAGCGAATGCACTGGACATGGTCATGGATTGAACTGAACGGTGCTTTAATATCCAACAACGATTAAACAACTGATCATAGCGATTCAAGACCCACGCGACACTAGCGAAAAACGTATGCGCATGCGTTAAAAAATTAGCAAGTTTTTTTCTCCAAATATACAAAACATTTCGCGAGTGAGACCAAGATAATGTATTCATAAAGACAACATGAAAGAATTTGCTGTACTTTGTTTCAAATTGACTTTAAATAAAGTATGTTTGGCAGGCAAATTTGCATGTTTTTTTCCCCTTACAATTCACCATTTTCCATACATCGGTTCACTGGTCAAACACGAAGCATTCAGTCGATGTTGCAAGGTTCAAATTTGAATAATCCTTTGAAAGTATATTGGCGCCTAGCTTGAGCGCTTTGTGTTTGACCAGTGAACTGATGTATGGAAAATGGTGAATAGCAATAGCAAAGACGTCTTAGACTAATTTGCATACATCCTACGGAGCATGTGCAAGACGTTTCTCACTTGTGTCGACCCAGAAAACGTTACGCTCAAGGTAAAGAGTTCTATGGAGTTTTTTTAGATTTTTGGTAAAGAATAGTAAAATTTACGAAAGAAAAAAGATTTGGCCTGAGATGGGAAAATTGAAATAATATACACAWTTAAAAAAGTTAAGAAGGTGAACATATGACGGGTCTACCTACACAATAACGACGTCTTACAAATATTCGTTGTCATAGAAACAAAATAAATAGTATAGTGTGTCGCAATCCATGATTTCGACTCTCCTTAGTTACCGTTGCCATGT